TTAGCACAAAGCTCCATATGGGGCTTGAACCCACGAACTGTGAGATCATGACCTGAGCCAAAGTCAGATGCTTAATCAACTGAGCCACCCAGGTGCCCCCCTGGTCTTGCCTTTTGAAGACTACTTTCCCGCCCAGAGATTTCATCTTCAGCATCTCTAAATTCACCTCTTTGGCTGTGTGTGGAACAGAATACACTCATCTCTAAAACAAGCCCACAAGCCATTTGAGGTTTTCTATTGCTGGAAATTATGGGAAAATCAAGTTAAAAGGTTCCCTTCCTCCCTATTTTTTGCTCTATTTATTTTCTCGTTTATTGCGCTGTTTATGTATTTACATTTAGAATTTCTATAAAATAGGACCTGAATGCTTTAAATCCCTGGGGAGATCAAGATGACAGGGAAGAGTCCATGGGAAATCAATCTATGATCATTATGTACGTTTCATCCCGAGAACAGCTAGCAGAGGAAGGAGGGCAGGGTATAGGGCCTCGAGAACCCCGTCCTAAGATGAAGGAAGAGGGAGGGGGAGGGTACTGTGGAGGATGGTGAGGCTGGGAGATAGGAGAAGGTAGCAAGGGCGTCGATGGGGTGACTCTACTGGGAAAGCTGCCTGATGTTCTTAAGTTATGTTTTTCTGCATCTACTTCATTGACATTACTGTGTTTTAGAGACTCCAAAAGGAAGGAAAAGAAAACCCAGAGCAACGGCACCAAAAAAACCGGTAGAACCCAAAAAGCCTGTTGAGGCCAAAAAATCTGGCAAGTCCACAAAATCAAAAGAAAAGCAAGAAAAAATTACGGACACATTTAAAGTGAAAAGAAAGGTAGACCGTTTTAATGGTGTTTCAGAAGCTGAACTTCTAACCAAGACCCTCCCGGACATTTTGACTTTCAATCTGGACATTGTGATTGTAAGAATTTTTGTCCTCATTTGGTTTTATAAATAGTATTGGTGAATTAAATTTACATAACCTCTGTTCTTGCAAATAGCATTTTGTTGAACCATTTCTAAGAATCCTTTTGGTAGTAAATGGTGTCATTTTGTCACCTTCATAAGGTTGTGGACACATATGGATGTGTTTAAGAGGATGGGCTCCAGAGTATGGCTGTCTGGTTTCAGGTCTTGCCATGTGGGTATGACCTTGAACAAGCCTTAACCTTCCTAATCACCAAGTTTCCTTATTGGTGAAGCAGGGGTGATAATAGTACCTTCCTCATAGGATTGCAGTTAGGTAAAATAATCCACGTGAATCACTTAGATTGCACATTACGTGTGAGTTCTCCGTAAGTGATAGTACTGATTCTGAGCTCTGATTTTTGTCAGTAACTGTAAGAAACATCAGCATGCAAACAACTGTAAATGACGTGGAGTGAGCGGCTTGGTGGGAGTGGAGAAACAGGCTGTGGCTGGACCTGGGCTCAGTTGATCGGTTGCTCCAGGACCTCTCTCTTTCCAGTCCGGTTGGGTGGAGGTGGGGGCTTGGGGACACGAGGGAGTCACACTGTTTTTTATCTTTAAAACTTATTTTTGTTTTACTTTTTTTTTTTTTTGCATTGAAGTATAGTTGACACACTTCCATTAGTTTCAGGTGTACAACATGGTGATTTAACAAGTTTATTCATTATGCTGCGCTGACGGCAAGCGTAGCCGCCATCCCTCACCATACGCCGTTGCCATGCCATCGACCCTGGTCCCCGTGCTGTGCCTCCCACTCTCCTTCACCCGTTTTGCCGGTCTCCCCTGCCTCTGGCCACCACCAGTTCTCTGTATTGATGGTCTGTTTCTGCCTTTTTTTTTTTTTAACTGGTTTTTCAAAACAGCAGCAACACTTTTGATATAAAGGGATTTTTTTTTCCCTCAAAATGAAATACTTTATTCAGATCAAAAATAGGTACTTGATAAACGGGATTGCTGATGATGCTGGATTAAATTTTTATTTTAATAAATTTAGTTTTGTGCATCACTACTCCACAGAAGCCCTCAGGCGTAAGCCCTACTTTTCAAGACTTAAGTGTATAAACATTTTTTGCAGATTGGCATAAACCCGGGACTAATGGCAGCTTACAAAGGGCATCATTACCCTGGACCTGGAAACCACTTTTGTAAGTAGTTCTTGCCTTTATTTTTTTACTTTTAAACTAGATATCTTTGTTAATAGTTTGGGTTTTTTTTTTTTCCTTTTTAGCCAAACTGTGTGGGTTTTTTTGTTTTTAAGTTTATTTATTTTGAGGGGAGGGGGAAGAGCACAAGCGGGGGAGGGGCAGAGAGAGACAGAATCCTAAGCAGGCTCTGTGCTGAGCATTGAGCCCCCAACCAAGGGCTCGACCCCACAAACTGTGAGATCGTGACCTGAGTGGAAATCTAGAGGACGCTCAACCAGCTGAGCCACCCAGACCCCCCAGATACAAACGTGTTTTCTGTGCATGAGTGCACAAAAATAAAAGGCTTGAAAAAGATATGTCACTGTTCATGTTTTGGTGTAAGAGAACAGAGGGGCAAGAAAAGTAGCACTTTCTCTTTTGTTTTGCTAATTGTTTTAAATGAGTTTTACCACTTTTTAAAATGAATTTTCTTTTTTAGTTGTTACCTACAGTCATAGTAACAATAGTACATCATTGTGCCAGTATAGACAGAACACTGACCTTTCCAGATTTCTGCTGATCTTATTTCCTAGGAGAGATGAAATGCATTGATCATTGGGAGTCAAGCTGTAACAGTTAAGAAATTCTGTGATTAGAGACATTCTGTTTTTCTGATTTTTTTTTAATGTTTATTTATTTTTGAAGGAGAGAGAGACAGAGTGTGAGTGGGGGTGGGGGCAGAGAGAGAGGGAGACACGGAATCTGAAGCAGGCTCCAGGCTCTGAGCTATCAAGCACAGAGCCCGATGTGGGACTCGAACCCACAAACCGCTAGATCATGACCTGAGCCGAAGTCAGACACTCAACCGCCTGAGCCCCGTTTTAGGCGCCCTTACTTCGTATCTGTGTTAAAGACCCTCATACTCGTAGAGTGAATTTTAAACCCAATTGTAACTACCATTGTATTGTCTTAATATGTAAGTCGACTTACCTAACACCACCTGATAGAAAAAGGCATGCAGTAGGCCCTCAGAAAATACTAGTTGGTTATCTAAGAGTTACATTAAAAACATTTAGGGCAGAAGATACAATAATGTGTTTTGGAACTAAGGACATATTGTCTCCATTATTTAAAACAATTTCTAAGAGACGTTTGAATTTTTAATTTTTCCATTGTCAAAGTGTTGGAATGTTCTGGGTCTGTTGGTGTATGTTTGTCTCTTTGAGGTATTCCAGGGGCAAGCAGTGGTATGACTAGTTCCTAGAAAGAAAACCAGTTTTGAAGTCTTCTGCACTGACTAGCTGTGTATTCTCAACAGCCATTTACCTTAACTGCCCTGGGAAAAGGAGATAAAAATAGTAATTAATATTTCATAAGATCATTGTGATTAAATGAGATAATCCATGCAAAGGGTTTATTAACACATAGTGATTGCTTGATACGGTATTTGACCTATAATTTCCTAAATATCCTAAATGTTTTATTTTTTTTTTTAATTTCAGGATAAATGTAGACTACCATAGTGATTCATGGGGCAAAAACCTTTGACCTACATGCAAATAAACTGAACTCTCTTTCACAGGGAAGTGTCTGTTTATGTCAGGCCTGAGTGAGGTCCAACTGAACCATATGGATGATCACACTTTACCAGGAAAGTATGGTATTGGATTTACCAATATGGTGGAAAGGACAACACCAGGCAGCAAAGATCTATCCAGGTAATTTCATTCATTTTTATAGGTCGGAACCTGACCATGCTGGTGTCTCATATACTCTAGGAACACTGTATGTATCTAGTGCAAGCTGAGCTTAACAAGTATATGAATTGATGTTGTATTGAAAGCTCTCTGAATTCAGCATATTATAAATATTACCGCACTTATATTTTGACTACTTTTTAATTCAATTTTAGTAAAGAATTCCGTGAAGGAGGACGTATTCTAGTGCAGAAATTACAGAAATATCAGCCACGAATAGCAGTGTTTAATGGAAAATGTAAGATTTACTTTTAAATTTTGTCTTTTTTCTTTGCTAACATTATGGACAACGTAAATATGTTTGTATTTCATTTTAGGTATTTATGAAATTTTTAGTAAAGAAGTTTTTGGAGTTAAGGTTAAAAACTTAGAATTTGGACTTCAACCCCATAAGATCCCAGACACAGAAACTGTAAGTCCTTAAAATTATATTTGTATATCAGCTAAATATGAATTTTTTTTCTAGCTAGTTTTCCTTTTTTATTTGTCCTTTCCATTGTAACTTGTGCCATGAAAACAAAGCACTGGATTTTGTTGAGTAATAGTTATCTATCAACTCAAACTAATAGTTGCAGATTAATTCAGATACTGTTATTAAAGAAAGAAACATTTGTCAGATAAAATGTCTTATGTTATTTGGCTAAAATATTGAGAGGAGCTGGCTAACATACTACATTCAAAATATATTTAATGGCATATTCTTACCAAATTCAAGTAGATTAGCCCTTACTCAGTATGAAACAAACATATAAATACAGACATGCTCCCAATTAGTAACACTGCTCAGTGCCCCCTGTTTGTATATCTTAGCCCAGTGTCATTGTGGAGCCATCTAAATAGTGTGCAGCCCGGTTGCAGACAGACATCCAGACAACCTGCTTGGCCCTTGGTGTATTTACTGTCTTATACATAAAGGCATCACGAAGTAACAGTGGTTTTCAAACTCTTATTTCTGTATCGCTTCTGCAGACACTTAGTTCAGATTTTGCTTCTTAAATCTAGTTTTAAGTTTTGTTTACAACTTAAAAAAAAATTTTTTTTAATGTTTCTTAATTTTTGAGAGAGAGAATGAACAGGGGAGGAGCAGAGAGATAGGGAGACAGAATCAGAAACAGGCTCCAGGCTCTGAGCTGTCAGCACAGAGCCCAACGTGGGGCTCGAACTCACAAGCCGCAAGACCATGACCTGAGCTGAAGTCGGACGCCCAACCAACTGAGCCACCCAGGCTCCCCTTGTTTACAACTTTTTGAAAAACAACGTACAAACACAGGCACATGTGTTATAGACAACATTTTATTTATTTTTGTTTTTTCTTTTTATTCTTTTCTTTTATGTTTATTTATTTTTGAGAGAGAGAGCGAGCCAGAGGGCATCCGGGGGACGGGCAGAGAGAGAGGGAGACACAGAATATCCAAAGCAGGCTCCGGGCTCTGATCTGTCAGCACAGAGCCCAAGGAGGGGCTGGAACCCACAAGCGGAGCCGAAGTCAGATGCTTAACCGACTGAACCACCAGCCGTCCCTTTTTTTGTTTTTTGTTTTAATAAGTTTTTATTTATTTATTTTTGAGAGAGAGAGGGAACAAGTGGGGGAGGGGCAGAGGGGAAGGGAGATAGAGGATCTGAAGCAGCTTCCCTGCAGACAGCAGAGAACCTGATGCAGGGCTCGAACCCACAAACCGTGAGATCATGACCTGAGCCGAAGGCAGCTGCTCAACCAACTGAGCCACTCAGGCACCCTGACGACATTTTAAATGATGGAGGAGCCAGTGTGTCAACAGGTTTTTGTGGAGACCTCAGAATACAGTTTCTGCCACCTCCGTACATTTGCACTTTTCCTTTTTAAATTTCTTCTGTCTTTAACTTGTTACAAATATGTCATTGACAGAGTAGGTGGTAGCCCTGGTCTTTGTTTAAACCAAGGCCTACACTTACCTACTTTAGTAAAATTGTACAGGTGAGTTCATTGCTTCCTATAGATTACCTCATTATTGTCCCTTAAGAGCCAAATGAGGCTCAGGTACATCTCTTGGGTATTTGTGCCCGTAATAGGGTAGTACTAACTGAATTTGAATCCTATCATGATAGGTAATTTTAGCTCTTATATTGAGCTGAGAGTATTTTTATCTTTTAAAATATATTCTTTATCATGAGATTTTAACAGTTGTTGATGTTAGTGACTCTTCTTTGAAACACAAAAAAACTTTCAAATTTCTGGATCATTTTAATTGAAGAATATCTTAGGAGTCGAAAAAGTGCTACTACACAACCTGGTAGCATTTGCACCTACATATATTTATGAGTCAGGAGTTTCTAAATGCTTTCTATACAAAAGAAAATCAATAATTTGTTTTCTATAATGTTATGGAGGCCAATATAAAAAAAAGTGCAAGAAATTGCAACTGGAAATTCCATAAACTAACAGCCTCACTCTTTGATATACATGTGATATATATTGTTATATATTTAGTATTCTATGAAGAACAATTTGTCACCATTATCCAAAATGATAAATGTAAATGTCTTTCTGCTGGGCATTGCACTTCTAGGAATTTATCCAAGAGATACACTCACACATATTCAAAATGAAATATGTACAAGCTTTTTCACTACACCTTATAATAATAAAAGACTGGAAACAACCTAAATGCCCACAGCTGGTCTTGGTTAAATAAGTATGCAAGTACTACACAGCTGCAAAAAAAGAAAGTCTAGGGGCACCTGGGTGGCTGAGTCAGTTGGGTGTCCAACTTCAGCTCAGGTCACGATCTCATAGTTTGTGAGTTTGAGCCCCGTGTCGGGCTCTGTGCTAACAGCTTGGAGTCTGGAGCCTGCTTTGGATTCTGTATCTCCCTCTCTGCCCCTCCCCCTACTCATGCACTCGCTCTCTCTCTCAAAAATAAATAAAACATTAAAAAAAAAAAAGTCTTTTTACTCTGCTCTAGATATCTGATACAGAATTGTCTCTGAATACATTGTTGAGTAAAAAAGCAAGGTGTAGAACAAGGAATAGAGAACATGTTATCATTTGTGTGTTTTTTGAAAAGGGTGAGGGAGAGTACATGTATTAGAGACATTTGATTCTATATTCATAGAATACCTCTGGAACCAGCAACTTTGCCTCTGGGAAGAGAACTGGGTGGACAGAGACAGAATTGGGGGGAATACTTTTCATTGTATACTTCTTTTGTGCCTTTAGAATTGTGAACCCATATGTTCACTGTTAAAAAGACAAGACTGTTAATTGGTAAATGAACATGGGGGGAAAGCCTCATTATTTTGATTTATTGACTTTGCAATAAGTAAATTTTACAAATTTTAACTCAAGACAAAACTACCATTACTGATTTTACATATATTAATATGTGATAGGCATCATAATTAATCCCCCCAAAGATAAATTTTTAAATCTCAATGTGAGTGGACTCAATAGATTTGTAACATTTATGTAACTGTAAAATTTTATGATTTTAGCTCTGCTATGTTATGCCATCATCCAGTGCGAGATGTGCTCAGTTTCCTCGAGCCCAGGACAAAGTTCATTACTACATTAAGCTGAAAGACTTACGAGATCAATTGAAAGGCATTGAACGAAATACAGACGTTCAGGAGGTGCAATATACATTTGATCTACAGCTGGCCCAAGGTATGTTTCCATTTTCGCCCTGTTTTTGGGTGTCATGGATATATACACTACTGAACGCACACACATTGTGAGTTTAAAAGCAAGAGAAAGGGGAACAGTTACATCGTCAGCCAGAGTGTTCTGACAACGGATGTTAGTCACTGTTAAAATCTCCTTTTACCAAAGTTACCCATCTGTCGTGGGTGCTCCTACAGATGTCGAAGATAGAAGAAGCAACATAGCCTACCGGAAATTAAATCTGATAGGCTTTTACAGTTCCGATGAGTTAATTTAATAAATGTTGTAAAGAGTTTAAAAGATGGCAACAAAAGATAGATCTCAGCACACTTGAACATTCAGGAAGAAGATTTGTTCATGAGGATTTCTGAATAAAGCTGTTTTCAGAACCATTGTACAAAAACAGCTGTAAATCCCTTTTACCCTCTCCACAGAGGATGCAAAGAAGATGGCTGTTAAGGAAGAAAAATACGATCCAGGTTATGAAGCAGCGTATGGCGGTGCTTATACTGAAAATCCGTGCAATAGTGACCCTTGCAGCTTCTCTTCCAATGGGCTAAGTATGTTCCTCTGTACGTGTCTTTCTCTCTTCCTCTCTTTCTTTCTTGCTCACGCGCACTAGCAGGGGAGGGGCAGAAGGAGAAGGAGAACGAATCTCAAGCAGGTTCCATACCCAGTGCAGAGCCTACACCAGGACTCGATCTCACGACCCAGGGGTCCTGACCTGAGCTGAAATCAAGAGTCGAATGCTCAACCAACTGAGCCACCCAGGAACCCCTGTTTGTTTCTTTCAAACACTTGGTTTTGTCAGGACTGGGGAAATGCACTTTATTTTTTTAAAAGAGAATGAATTATTGCAGTGTGGGAATGGTACTATGAAAGTCTTTTTTTTTTTTTTTTAATTTCTTTTTTTTTAATTTTTTTTTTTCAATGTTTATTTATTTTTGGGATAGAGAGAGACAGAGCATGAACGGGGGAGGGGCAGAGAGAGAGGGAGACACAGAATCGGAAACAGGCTCCAGCCTCCGAGCCATCAGCCCAGAGCCTGACGCGGGGCTCGAACTCACAGACCACGAGATCGTGACCTGGCTGAAGTCGGACGCTTAACCGACTGCGCCACCCAGGCGCCCCACTATGAAAGTCTTTTTAGTGACAGTGAAATGTGATGGTTATCTGAGGTTTCACCACGTAGGTGTTAGCAGCTCATTTTCATTAAGTCGTTACGTCATTCTAATCACATTCCCTCCCTCAATGACCATTAAGGGTTTCTTAGTCCTGTATCTGCCAAGAGAACAGAAATTTATCATTGTATTGAAGAAGCTTGCTGTTTTAACGGCACCCTCCTCCGCTGGACTGCTAACATCTCTTGATGAATCGTGTAAAGCTTTTTAGAGAGAATGAACTAACCTTCTTCTCCCCACCCTGGCAGCTGACAGTGGAGAATCAACTTTCAGTGACATTCCAAATGGGCAGTGGATGACCCAGTCGTTTACAGACCAGATTCCTTCCTTTAATAATCACTGCGGGACTCCAGAACAGGAAGAAGGAAACCATGCTTAAGACTGGTGTTTCTCAGCTCTACCTAAATGCTGCAGTTTTAATGCAGTAGCCAAGAAGGGGCTAACTGAAGCAGTTTATTCGTATTTTATTCTGGTGATATAATCATATTATGGTTGTGTGGTAGAATCAACTGTATGAACCTGAGTAAGCTTGGAAGAAAAAAGCACGGTTTTTTGTGTATGAGTTTTTGTATTTGAATTAACCACCATTCCAGCTTTTTATAAAGTATATTTCATTATGAAGAAATTGATTTTCTTTTGGGAGTCACTTTTAATCTGTAATTTTAAAATGTAACTGTCCGAATATTTATACTTGATTATGAACTGTGCATAAACCCAGATATACCATTATTCCTTTTATGCCTAAGAAGGGCATGCTAATAATAATTAGCACCGGTCAAGAGGCAGATGTGTTGAATTCTATATGTGAAGCTAACCCCCAGGGGAGTCCCATGTGGTGCTGTCTAGCGGTGTTTGACGGGCTCCCTGACGCGTACTCACCCTCAGACCCCTTGGCCTCACCAGCAGGGAGGGTTTGGGAGAATTGCTCAGCCGTAGAAATGTCAAGTGTGGCCTCACCCAGCCTTCTCTGACAGGGCGCTGAGCCCTGCCTTTGGCCTCCTCACCCCTGCGTGTTAATCCTCTCGTATAGGCAGAAACTGCCCTGCTGGAATGGTAAATTCCAGAGAATGCAGTAGACCTTTTAAAGTTTGTTATTTCTTCTGTGTTTTACTTGAGAGACATACATTTGATAGGGAAGGAACTGAATTTTTCTTACAGTATCTAGCACCTCCTTGGCTTTAAGGGCGTAACATGGAAAGTGGTGAGAAATGAACTCAGGCTGAGCAACAAGAAGCTGGGGTGTTTGATAATCTTATTTAAACTGGTGCTTTATGTACGTGAGATGTATTAAAATAACAGAATTTTTCTTGCTATGTGAATCTAATAAGCTGTCACTTAAAAATTTTTCTCTGCGTCATTGCTGTTACTGTGGACTTTAGTGAGCCTCGTGGCAGGGTTAGTTTGAAGTAACGTACTTGTGTGATTTTCTAATGCCTTTTCCATGGTGCTACAGATAGTCCAGACTACTAGGCCTGGTGGATAGTAAAGCTGGGTATTCAGAAATGCCATTTGCAATTAACTCCTGGTCACTTCTGAATATCCTGATTTCATACATACCCAGGGAGCATGCTGTTTTTCAATATGAAAATATTTATGAGGTGTTTTTTTTTTTCTTAAGAGATTATATGGCTTGTTCTTCTCTATTATGATAAGAGAAACAAATTCTTGTGAATCTTAACATACTTTTTAGCTGTGGCTATGATGGATTTTATATTTCTTTTAGTCTAGGTCAAGCTGTGTAAAAGTCATTCATGTTATTTAACTCATGTACTGTACTGCTGTTTACATGGATGTTTCATGCGGGTGCTTTGAAGTGCCTTGCATCAGGGATTAGGAACAATGGAATTATTTTTTCATGGGACTATGTAAAGCATGGAAGTAGGAATTGCTTTGGTATATAATGATTGTAGCTTTACAATAGATTTTTTTTTTAAATCTGACTGGAGAAAATACCCTTAAAATTATAATGGACCCTCATTAGAGAATGGGTTTGAGGATTTTCCAAGCATACAACAATGGTGTTTTTCATTACATTTGACAGATGAGTAGTAAACATTGATATATCCCCTATGTGACAATATGAGACTTTTTCATTAAATAATATTGGAAAGGTTTTTAAATTCATTTGGAAGTCTGATGGTTTTTACAATAAAAATACCAAGAACGATTATCCTAAGTTGCAGGATTTTCTGCGGCAGAAGTGACTGGTATTCTTTCCCCCTTTACGCCTCAGATCCGTCTACCTTGTGTTATGTTTAAGGTATTGAATAATATATGTACTGCAAATCATTTAAAAATCTGCATATCTTTTATTTTTACATACATTCATGTTTTAAATGTAGTTTGTTGTTTTACAAAAGACAAGACTGGCAACCTGTGAAAAAATACCTATGTGTGAAAAACACATTGAGAAATTTTAAAAACTTGTGGGTACAGGTTGTCATTGAGAGTTAAGCAAATTGATTGCTGAAACCTAGGTGGGTTTATTTCCTTCCAACGATATATCTCACTCACATCATCTTGATTTCCATAATTACCACTTACACTTAAGGAATCAGTACCTACGTAATCCAGGGTACTATTTGCCCACAGTAGTCTTTGTGTTTTACATTGTGGATCATTTGTACCAAAGGTACTGTTCATAAAGAACAATGATATAGGAGGGCTATAAATGGACAATTCCACATTTTTATACAGGGAATATATAAAATGTCGTTACATCAGCTGCTGTGGTGATTGAGTTTAAATATCCCTGCGGGGTCAGGAACAAACCAGCTTTCCCATAAGTCGTTGTGAACACTAGGGAAGTCCCAGGGTTTATGTCTTCCATTCCAGTGGAGTAATTTTGCTTCCTGCAGAAAATGCTCCGAATATCTGGTATCTGGATTCCAGCCTTCATTGTATTCAGAAGAAAATAATAGGCTTGTTAGAAAGCAAACTTTTTATATTGAATGAGTACAAGTTCATTATTTAAAAAATTAAGCGAATCAAAGAGTATACATGGAAGAATTTACCACCTCCCCTAAATCTCCAAAATAACCACTGTTAGAGTTTCTCATGAAATCCTCCTACAAATATTCTACCTGTATGCCTGTGTGTGTGTGTGTGTGTGTGTGTGTGTGTGTGTAATATAGCACATGTGGAGTTACTGAATTGTTTTTTTGGTTTTTTTTTTTGTTTTTTTTTTTTAACGTTTATTTATTTTTTGGGGACAGAGAGAGACAGAGCATGAACGGGGGAGGGGCAGAGAGAGAGGGAGACACAGAATCAGAAACAGGCTCCAGGCTCTGAGCCATCAGCCCAGAGCCCGACGCGGGGCTCGAACTCACGGACCGCGAGATCGTGACCTGGCTGAAGTCGGACGCTTAACCGACTGCACCACCCAGGCGCCCCACTGCATTGTTTTTAAATGTTCATTTTTGAGAGAGAGGGAGGGAGACAGAATCCAAAGCAGGCTCCGTGCTGTCAGCACAGAACCTAATGCGGAACTCGAACCCACGGACTGAGAGCATGACCTGAGCCCAAATCAAGAGTCAGATGTTTAACCGACTGAGCCACCCAGTCGCCCCAAAGTTACTGAATTATTTTTAATGGCTACATGGAATGCATATATAATCATTTATTTAGTGAGTTCCTTATTAAGGACATTTAGGTTGTTCCTGTCCCCTCACTAACATAAGCAGTGGCACAGTGAACAGGCTCCTGTGCAGGTTTGTGCGTGTCTACAGATACATTTGTGGGGTAAAGCCTTGCAGATGGACTTGCTAGACTGAAGGGCGCATATGCCTTTACATTTTGATAAGAGGTTGCCAGATTGTTCCCAAAAGAAGTTGGATCAGTTTCCCTCCCACATAGAGTTTATAGGAGTTCTTGTTTCTCTGCATTTTCCCTCCTTAGTGTGTACGACGACATTTTCCTGTAAGTCGTGTTTTTACCTTATGAAGCGTGACAAAGAATAATATTCACTTTTTAACACAAAACTATCTCCATTTGAATATTATTCCACTCATAAGGAGTCACTTAGGGTGTGTTTATCCCAAAATTGCCAGAGTATTTTTAGAACCTCTCTTCCAGAAGTGCTTTAAGATCTTGAGAACGTAATTTTTTTAATATCCTCTATGATGTTAAGTTTTCTTCCTATGAAAGGAATTTGACATGTTTTTTAAAAATCCATTAGGGAAAGAGAAGGTGGTGAATAGCTGGAGTTGTGTTATTCTAGCTTAACATATGATACAAGAAAAATAAAAATAAAAATCCATCTTCCGTTATTCATAAACGTAGCTGTGAAGGCAGTTACAGAAGAGAGGCTGGGTGTTTCAGGCTATGGTTATGTAACTGGAATAATTATCAACTTTCAGAGAATCTATACAAAGGAAATGTTCATTTGGGAAGAAGCACCTTAATTTTTTTCTTTAATGTTTATTTTTGAGAGAGAAAAAACACAAGTGGGGGAGGGACAGAGAGAAGGAGACACTGAATCTGAAGCAGGATCCAGGCTCCGAGCTGTCAGCACAGAGTCCAACACGGACCTCGAACTCAAACTGGGAGATCATGACCTGAGCCAAAGTCGGACGCTTAACCGACCGAGCCACCCAGGCGCCTCTATTTTTTTTAATGTTTATTTGTTGTAAGAGAGAACACAAGCAGGGGAGGGGCAGAGAGAGGGGGAGAGGGGGAATCTCAAGCAGACTCTGCTTTCAGCACGAGCCCCACACAAGGGCTCAATCCCGTGAACCATGAGATCATGACCTGAGGTGATAAGCTGGATGCTTAACTGACTGAGCCGCCCAGGCACCCCAGGAGGAAGCAACTTAGAGTCTTCACTGAGTGAGACATCATCTCTCTGCTCCATGATTGGAGGATTCTACATGGGCTTGCAGTTTGCTTTAGCTAAATACGTTTCATAAACTTTTTATGTCTTAATCCTACCAGCTTAGACCCAGACTTAATACCCATTAGTGTTACATTGCTTCCTGCTTCCAAAACACTCTAAAGCCAAAACATTTTTCAAATGATTTCTGTGTAGATTTACTTTGCAGACTTCCCGGATTCCAAAACCTTCCGCACAGATGTAGTCTCTGTTCTACAAAGAGAAATGACTTCTTTCTCTTGGGAAGATTCTGCCCCTCCCTACTTACCAGCTAGATATTTCATGAAATGTGAGTGAGTCTCTGTTCCAAGATCATAGAATGCTCTAACCTTATCCATTTAAGCTCTGCATAGCTGTTCCTACACATTTTTTGTAGACCTACAACTTTGATGAGCTTTTCTGCACATTGATTACAGGGAAATGTTGATATTTGACCTAATAGGGAACCTAACATTATAAATCAGATGGGACACTAGAATCCGTAACTTGCCTGTGTTGCTCCTGTGTGCATACAGAAAATCGAGGAGGATTCTGGTAGTAAGGCAGAAGCAAATCTATACAGAATCCTTAAAAGGAGACTGGAGCCCAGCTTCAATGGCTTTATGTGTCCTTTCTTTTAAAAGGGAGAGTAAGGGACATATATACCACCTTGCAGATTGTTCTGAGAATTAGAAATAATATTCACCTTTATCACCAGACCCTAGCCCATTTCTTGACAATGTAGAGGGTACTTAGTAAATACACATCCATAATCTATTGTCTCCAATTCTAAAATAATCTTCAAATGTCTGAAAACAAAAGGATTTTTAACTTTTTTGGTAGCAAAACCTAGATCCCACTCAGGGTATTGCATAACATAAATATATGCATTACATTACATTTTTGAAATTCAAAACCTTTCCAATTTCTAAACAGGTCTGGCCCAGTGCTTTTGGCTAAGGGATTGTGGCCGTGTGTTTGAATGTATGTGACTGTCTTCTGGGCCAAGCTGTGTTCTAAGCAATTTACATGTATTAGGTAATTAGCTTCAGTTTACAAATGGAGACACTAAGGCATAGAAGGGTTGAACAATTTGCCCAACATGGGTAATAGAACTGGGATTCCAGTCCATACCCAAGAGTCTGCATGCTTGTGGTGAAGAGTGAATGCAAGACATGCTACACAATCAGGAAACAACTTCTTTTTAAAAGATAAGCCTCCACCTATCTAAACTCACAAAACACGGTGTTAATTTGTTCAGTTTTGCCCACTGCAGGCTACTGCAAGAGGGCAATAAAGGCGAAGTGGAAAAGTTTTGACAGTAAAGGCTTGTTGTAAGAATAGCTAATGTTTATCGAGCACCTACCATATGCTAAGCGTGAGTCTAATTGCTTTTCTAGAAACACATTCCTGGAAACACACCTCTCAGGAAGGCCAGTTTTGTCAGCTGCATTTGTAGACTGAGCAGCGGAGGTTAAATAACATGTCCAAGATCACCTCCAACATCACCCGGAGGACTGGATCTCAGGAAGCTGGTGTTCTATATAGCACACTCTCCTCGCCTTGTGCTCGCAGGTCTAGAACATGCACATTTGTGTTGTCTTCCTAAAATACTTACCCAGGTGCCGTATGTGCCACAGGGGGTTGATGGTGGAGTATTTCCCATGAAACACGATCAGCATCGGGGAGGTGGCCACCCCTCCTCCCAGGGAGCTGCTGTAGAGATTTTCCCTAAGAAATGGAACAGAAACGCACCATTTGGCCTGGAGCCCCACAGACTCCTATAAAGTAGAATCTACTAATTTTGAAAGATGTGAGACCATCTCTCGCTGTATAATAAGACTATGGTTTTTCACTTGCCCCCAACTTTTTATTTTGAAAATTGTCAGACAACACAGAATTGTAAGAAGGATACCATGAACCCCATACCATCCACCTAGATTTACAGCGTAGCATTTTACCATTTTTGTTTTTATCCTTTTTTAATGGCAAATACTGAAGATCAAATTCTGATCCTACATTATTTAGAATAACTTTACTCACAAATTCAAAGTTATGGTGGTATTGAAAATATCCAGATAGAAAAGACGAACGGGAAGTACAGTGAGATGATAATTGCGGTTGTGTCACAGGGGCTTTTCCCCCCATATTTTAAAACTTGGATGATGAAAAATGATACATTTTTAAAAACTCAACTTCCAAAACCAAAGTTGAGTTTATAAAATAATTCTTTTTAAGTTTATTTATTTTGAGAGACAGAGAGTGCGAGTGGGGGAGGGGCAGAGAGAGAGGAGGAATCTCAAGCAGGTCCACTCTGTCAGCACAGAGCCTGATGTGGGGCTCGAACTCACAAAACTGTGAGATCATGACCTGAGCTGAAATCAAGAGTTGGATGCCCAACCGAGTGAGCCACCCAGGCACCCCAGAGTTTATAAAAAAAATAATTCTTCAAAACAAATTATGTAGGAAGAAACTCAACTGAGAAATGGTTTTCAGTGGAAAAGGTTCACTAGGATTCTGGGAGAAGACTTAAAGTCACATTACTAATTCATTAGAAAAAATGTTTGTATAATGAGATTGTGCAGGATCTCGGTTCCACTGACATACCGTTTGGGGACAGATTTCCATCTGCTGTCCCCATTCTTTCTCACCCATGCCTCTGTAAGCAAATCTGACCTAAGATGTCTATGAAATATTTCTAACCCCTGAGATATGCATAGAAAATTAATTATGCAATTTTGTCCCCAAGCAAGGAAAATGGTAGAAGGGTTTACGCCTACTCCACATTTTTTTGCATCCATTTCTCCAGTTGTTTGGTGATACGTTGATGCTTCCATTCCGTCATGTTGGCGACAATCACGCCGGGATTGAAAGAGCACGTGCTGGGGCTTATGCCAAGGTCTTTTATGGTCTTCTTCCTATAGTCCAGATAGCCCATGTATGTATTCTGTAAAGGAACAGGATATGCCTTTGACCAACACATCTTTTGTTTCTGGAAAACGATCATTTTCTTGAAACCATTGGGCAGCGTTTCTGGGTTTCCTCCTGTGTCACAAGCCATTTCCTAGTATCCTTTGCTGTTTTTCGTGTTTCCCCAACCTCGAAAGGCTGAGTGCCCCCTAGTCTCCTTGCCTGCACCTGTTCCTGTCTCTAGTACGAGCTCCCCAGACAGCCTCATCCGGTCTCGTGGCCCAAAATACTATCTGTGCAGCCAGCCTTGACCTCTCCTCTGGATTCCCAAAGCCTGCTACATCTGTTGGCAGATACTGCGTCTCCTTCTGGATGCTTAACAAGGCAGCTCTACTTACATCCAAAAACTGATCCTGATCCTGGCCGGAACTCGCTTCCCCACAACCCGCCTACCTCAGTTACCGGCAACACTATTCTTCCAGTTACTTGGGCAAAAAACCCAGGGCCATTACGTCCTCCGTGGCTCCTTCACACTCACTTTGCATCCAAATCTGTCAGCAAGTCCTGTTTGTCTCATCTCCCAAAATATATCCATAAGCCAACCACTGCCTATGCTGCAGCCTTCCCGGTCTGGGCTGTAATCCCCACTCACAGGACGTCCGCGAGCCCCTCCTAAACTGTTCCTGCTTCCACCCTTGTCAACTTCACTCTCTCTCTATGTTATTCATCTGCTCAAAGCCTCTCCAGTGGCTTTCCGTCTCAGTAAAAGCCAGAGTTCCTAAGATGTGTTGCCGTGCCCTAGGCCATCTGCCCCCAGCGCCATGACCTTTCTCGCCTATTCTCACACTGGTTCCCTCTGCCACCCTGACCTCCTTGCTCCTGCAATAAAAGAAAGACACACTCCTGCTTCAGGACCTTTGCACTTGCTGTTACCTCTTCTTGGAATGCTTTCCCCCTAAATATCTGCTGAGCTAATCCCCTGACTTCTTTTACGTGCAGGCTCAGCGACACCATGTCAGGGGGGCCTTCCCTGATCACCCAATTTAAAATACAACCCAATCTGCATCCTGATCCTCTGTTAAATATTTTTTATACTGTCTTTTCCCACTAACATGTAAACTTCACAAAGGCAGGCATTTCAGTTTTGTTTACTGTACTGCTGGTACCTAAAACAGTGCCAGCACCATGGTAAGCACATGGGTGGTTGTGGAGTGGCTGTGATATGAGGCGAGACATTACTGTTCCACCCACACAGGCTGTCACAATCCACCTCAAGCTCAGTGCGATGCCCAAGTGCAACACGGAAATCATGGACACGCTTGAGCAGTTTCCATGTGCCAGCCTCTGTTCTAGGAACTTTGCACATATTACCTCGTTAATCGCACAGTCACTTTACACGTATTAACTAATTTAATTCTCACCATAACTCTACGAGGGAAGTACTGTTATTACCTCTGACAACCGAGGGAGAACCGCACGGCCATGCACTTGCCCAGGGCTGCAAACCTACTAAGGGGTGGAGCCAACCTGTTGACTAAGGTCCTAGGCCTCAAAGTATGTCACACCTCTACTGTCAACATGTCTAAAATGATGTCCTGGAACTTTGTTTAAAGAACAGCATTTGATTCTTAATAACACCTTGTATTTTAAAGCCATCCTTTTAGTTTTAGTATTACAGACAGGTTTGACTTCCCTCATTTCCACCAGGGTAAGTTGCTCTTTACCCTTGAGCAAAATCAGTATTTTCCTCTGTTGAAAGGAAAACACAAAAAAAGCAATGATCAAAACTCTGACAACAGAACCAAAAGTCCAGGGCTGTCTTACAGGAAACCCCATCTTGGACAGGGGTGGTTGCAGCCACTTAGGTAACACCTGTCACTTCTGGAGCATTACTGCAGGCTGGAGCTCTGGCATCGTGTGATTTCATCACAGCTCACAAAAACCAAATGAAACAGGTACCGTTGTTGCCATGTGTCAGACAAGCAGAGAAGGACTTGCAGGGCTAACTTGCCCCAGAGTCGGTACACACGGAGCTGGGGCCGAATGGACAGCCTGGGCCCTGTGCTGCGCTCCAAGGTTAGATGATTATGTGCTGTGGGGAAGGGAAGGGAAGGGAACAGCAGAGCGAAGCCAGGACCTCCAGGCCAGCGAGCCCACCTGCAGCCCCACAAATCTGTTCATGTCCTGAGCGGAGGGCAAATCGCAGTCATCCGAAAAAGCTGCCGCGTGGCCCAGGGCCAAAGTGGTGTCATAGAGTTCCTGGATGTCACCTGAATTCAGAAAACACCAGTGGCTTAAATATTATAGCATTTGGTTTTGAGCTAGATAGAGCCTTAGATTGTCCAACAGTCCCTGATTTTGCTATGGAGGAAAAGTATGTGATCTCAATTTCGAGTGGCCTGGCGATTTACTTAATAACATAGTTTGTCTCAATTCAGAAGGCCACTTGATGATAAGCTCAGATCGGCACTGGCTAAATGTCTTTACTTCCGTTGCCATGTAGAGACCACACCAGTGCTTAGCTTATTTGCATATGAGAGAGAGAGAGAGAAAGAGAGAGCAACACTTAGACACCAAAACGTAGCTCACTTTTAAGAATGTCGTGAGGGAGACTTTATTCCTCTACATTTTAGGGATGCAGAGAAAGGAGAGGCTACTGAGCTATTTATTACCGACTTCAACAGTGAGAGAGTGGCTCTCAGTCAACTGGACTGTCCAGGGAAGTGAGTTATCAACCCCCGTTTTCAAAACATCCCCAAATTTATAACAATACTGTTCTCCCATCTTGAATACGCAGCCACAGTCGCTGGGCATCTAGCTACTTGGAAACTGAAGGAGATGGACAGTTATTCTACTTATCGGCTGCTCCTTTTCCGAGTGTTCTTGGCAGTCGGCGTGTATACCTTGTACGATTACGTCATCGTCCAAATAGATGACTTTCTCATGTTGATGGATAAGCAGAGGGAGATAAAAGCGGACAAAGTTCAGCTGTTAAAACAACAGAAAAAAAAAGTGATGGTGGGGAACAGGCATATGGCTCAGTGTCTTCTAGTGCTCTTATGGGGGTGGCTTTGACCATGGCCTCAGTTCCGCTCCAGGTGTGGAGCAAAATAAAACAGTCCATAAAGATGCCTCGCTGCAGCTTCCTGATTCCAAGTTATCCGGGCCCCGGGCTGCAGCTGATGCTGGCCCATCAGTGCCCTTCTAGACCCAAACCCTCATCTGCCGAGACTGTGACATGACTTGGGTCTCCGTGAGCCACTGTACTGGGAGTCACGGAGGCTTCCTGGTCAATCTTTTAGGACACGAAGTGCCTGCCCTCCTCTATACTAGTAATTTGATTACCGTCAACTAAATCAGCCTTACACACACACACACACACACACACACACACACACACACAGGACACAGGGGCACAGGGGCATCATCCCAACCATGAGCTCAACCTCTTAGCTCCCTGGACCAGAAAAAAGTCAGACAAGCATGAGCTGAGGGTGAGAGCCATATGGTTTCATTAGCCATAACACTATCGAACCCAAAGTTCTAGCTCAGCTCACACTCTGATAATAAATATAAGGAACTGGGGAAAGATAACGTCATTAGAGGGCATAGAATTCAGTACATTTTCAAGGACGGATGTAACAAGCATATGCAGAAAGCAGCTGCATTTTCTGTGAACCTGCCATCAATACTACTCTTCATGCAAGAGAGTCCCTTTAGTAAGAACTCTTGCAGTAAAATACCTTAAGATTCCCAATTCCAGGGAAAAAAAGCGGTGTCTCCTGAAAATATTACCTTAGTTGACACTATGAGGTATATCATCTATCACACTACTGGTTTTCCTTAGCTGCCGGGATGCTTGGGCTAAATTCAACGTCCAATTACAGCACACATAACACGCTGTCGGTTGGGAATACTTTTCCTGGCCTCACTATTTGGCCCCTACCCCCAACCTCTACAGGCATATTCACACACAGAAATGCATCCTACGTTTTCTCATGCTTCATTTCTGCTTGAATAGCTTCATTTTATTTATGTGAACCGTCTTAAATCCTTCCGGAGCAGGTGACTTATAAATTATAAATAAGCAGACCTTGGTGGAGATCTGACACTGCTTCCAAAATATTCTGTCTGCATCCCAGTGGCCAGTGCTCCCCACTGAGCAAGGGTCTCACCGAAGACTGTCCCCCAGCACGTGCGCGATTCCTACTCACAGGCTGGAGCAATTCTGGCCTTGATGAGTCCGGTCTGACCTTCCCCTTGAGGACTATCGGGTTGAATTCCACGATTTTAAAGTTTATTTCTCTTAGTTTAGAATGTTCAATCCATTTTCTAAAGAGATGACAACAAACAAACAAAAAACACCTCTAGCATATACACCTCCAACCTTTTGCCTCAATTTCCCTATTGCCTCAGAGTTGATCTGTGGCCTCTTTCAAAAGTTACCAATAAAATGTGTATAACCTTAGTAGAGTTTAGTCTATAAAACCTTCTGATTTTTTCCCCCATCTGGTCTGGCTTCCTATCTTTCCTCTCTTTTTTCTTTAATTCACGTAACTCTGCAAAGGAAATGAAGCAAAACAGTAATAACCAAATAGCTCCCCAGATCCACATAATCTCCACAGGAAACCGGGAGAACAAAATGTGTTCCTTCTTCCTTACAAAGCATCTGCGGGTCCTGGTCCCTGTTTGCCACGGGGTTACCAGATTTTGTCAACGGATGAAGCAGGACATCCTGGATCTCCTACCTGCCTTCTTCCTCTGCTATTTCCACTCCAAGGACGATTTGAAGTGATCCTGGCCTCTTTGTCTCTGTCTCTCCATGTTCCCGACCTTTCCTCGCTTCCCGCCTTCCCCTCCTCCCTCCCCCCGACCCTCTCCCCCCGTGTCTGCTCAGTCGCACACAGTCTGCGACTATCTTTTATCCAATTCATGATACGATTCTTGGCAGAAATTATCTCAAAACAATTGTTAATGACCAAAGCCACACATGGTAGCATCTGTTGTTGCTCAAAAGTTGACAAATCAATCCTTGGAACAAAATTTAGATCTGCAAAATTTGAACCATAAAAAGCAGCCATTTACACAATGTTAAATGTCAATTATATTTCAAATCCGGAGGTGGGGAGAAGTCACGTCAATAAGAAAAAGATAGACAACCCTACTGAAAAACTGGCAAGAGACTTGAACGCGCAAATCTAAGTAGCCAAGAAATGTGTGAAAAAAAGTGCTGGGCGGTGGGGGGACCCTGGGTGGCTAAGTCAGTGAAGCATCTGACTAGGCTCAGGTAATGATCACGCAGTTTGTGGGTTCAAGCCTCCTGTCAGGCTCTGTGCTGACAGCTGAGAGCCTGGAATCTGCTTCAGATTCTGTGTCTCTCTCTCTCTCTGCCCCTCCCCTGCTTGTGCTCTCTCTCTCTCTCTCTCTCTCTGTCAAAAATAAACATTTAAAAAAGAACATTTAGAATTTTTTTTAAAAAGTGCTCAATCTCATTTAAAATGAAGGAATCTCAAGTTAAACCATGATGAGATAGCCCTAGACACCTATCAGGATGGCAAAGTTAAAAAGACTGACCATACTGGGGCGGCTGTGTGGCTTGGTTGGTTAACTGTCCAACTCTTTTTTTTTTTAATATTTATTTATTTTTGAGAGAAAGAGAGATAGAATGTGAGCGGGGGAGGGGCAGAGACAGAGGGAGACACAGAATCTGAAGCAGGCTCCGGCCTCTGCACTGTCAGCACAGAGCCCGACGCAGGGCTCGAACTCACAGACCATGAGATCGTAACCTGAGCTGAAGTTGGACACTCAACTGACTGAGCCACCCAGGCGCCCCGAAGTATACATTATTTAAACAAGGAATAAGTGTGTCTATTTTCCTGCACTGGATATTGTTGTCCTATTAATTTCTACCATCTTGATGAGTGAAAAATTATGTCACTGTTGTTTTAATTTGCATTTCCCTATTAGTAACACAGAATACGTTTTCACGTTTGTTGACCATTTGTATTTTTTCTTCCGTGACTTGTCTGTATTGCATGTGCATTTTACTACCCGAAGCTTATATGTTTAAAAGTTTTTTGTAAGAATTCTTTATATTCTTTGGATAGTAATCCTTTGTCTGTAATACATGTTGAAAATGTTTTGTGTAATTTATTGTGTGATTAATTTCACTTACAGTGTTTTTCATCATTTAAAAATTTTTAAATGTTATGTAGCCAAATCTGTCCATTTTTTTCCTTGTGATTTGTGGGCTCACAGAATCACTTTCCATAGCAAAATTATATAATTATCCTGCTTTTTTATAGTAATTTAAAATTTGATTTTCTGTTTATTTCTTCTAACTCCGTTTCCAACTTACTTTGCAGTGTGTTGTGTGATAGGAAAGAGATCACTATGCAGTTCAAAAGTTATAATTAGTGATCATTCTGGGTCATATTAAAATGATACTATATTAATATCCTCCCAGGTTAAGAAAGCAGAAACTGTTAATTTTTTGTTTTGTTTGGTATTTTTCAGAGAGAGAGTGCGTGCACACGCACACGTGTGGGGGAGGGGCGGAGGGAGAGGGAGAGAGAGAATCTCAAGCAGGCTCCATGCCCAGTGCTGAGCCCAACAGAGGGCTCCATCTCACAACCATGAGATCATGACCTGAACCAAAATCAGGAGTTGGACACTTAACCGACTGAGACACCCAGGTGCCCCCATCTTTTTTTTTTTTGTTTTAATTTTAGAGAGAGAGCGAGGCAGAGGAGAAGGGAAGAAGGAGAGAGAGAGAATCAAAGCAGGCTCCACACTCAATGCAGAGCCCAACACAACCTTGGGATCATGACCTGAGCCCAAATCAAGAGTTGGACACTCAACTGACTGAGCCACCCAGGCACCCCAAGATAAACTGTTTTAGAAAGACTTCCGGGGCGCCTGGGTGGCTCAGTTGGTTAAGCATTGGACTCTTGACTTCAGCTCAGATCATGATCTCACGGTTTATGAGATCGAGTCCCATGTTGGGCTCTGTGCTGACAATGTGGAGCCTGCTTGGGATTTTCTCTTCTCCTCTCTCTCTGCCTCTCTGCTCCTGCTCTCATGCACGTGCTCTCTCTGGAAACAAATAAATATTTAAAAAATAGAGAGAGATTTACACACAACCTGCCGAAGGCTTGTAGTTCTTTAGGTCATTAGCCAATTCACTTCAGCAGAATGATGCAATGCCCAACCAGATTAATGAGACTTTGCTGGAAACTTCCTTAGCTATACCACACATTCATCAGGTCACCCAGTAAACCTCAGGTCATCCCCTCATTAATTCAAACGACATTCATCAAGCCCAAAACAGAAGGAAATGCATTTAAGGAAAGATAAGGAAGATGAAGGGAAAGTTGAAAACTCCCAAGTCTATAGTACACAAATTACCGGATTCGAGACAGAGTGTTCCGGAGTCCAACGACATAGAACAGAATGTTGGCGTCGGTGTTGCTGTAGATGCTATTGATGGCAGCCATGGCGGCACCCATTCTCCCTGCAGCAGCACAAATCACCACAGGAATCTCATCCTCCATTTCCTCAGGAGCCTCAGAGTCATCATCTGGAAACATCACAATCACTGTCTTAGAACATGAAGGAAATTCATAGTAGAACCAGTTCAAATTGTCTCCCACACTCCTGGGGGAAGACGGCATAGTGTGGAAGAGACTGCCAACCATTCTCCAACATCCAGTCTCTTCTTCTTTCAGAAATAGAACATGGGGTGGGGCGGGGGGGGGGGGGAAGAAATACAACACTGGAGTTTTAATTTTAGCTGGCATCTAGCCAACCACTAAGAACAGATTTCTGAGACTCCCTAGCAAGTGTGCATGATCAAGTTATGACCAACGGAAGGTTAGCACAAGTATGTGTGTGATTACTGGATTTGCCTTTGAAAGCAACGTGCTACCCTCCCCTTCCCCTGGCCCCATTCCCATTGGCTGGAATGTAGATATGATGACAGAAGTTAGGGCAGCCATCTTGGACCACTACTTGGAAGCTACCTGTGGAGGACACCAAAACCCTAACACAGAAGGAACCTTGATCTGGATGACCGTGGAAATGGCACATCGTTGTGTGGAATGACACACATTCATTCACTTGAGAGAGAAAATGAACTTCTATTTTGCTTCACTCACTATGATTTTGGGGCTCTTTTACAGAAGCCAGTCGGACACACATACACACAGTTGAAAAATATGTGAAGAACTGGAAAGTCTCATTTGATCCGACGGTTCTCAACTCCTTCCTAAATTGGGATGTTTTCCTGCAATGCTGCTGTAAAAGCTACTGCTTGTGATCTTCCTTCTCCTCTCCGCCCTCTAGTCAAGTCTCTCAAAAGTCGACAGCAAGAGAAAGGTGGTAAATGAAAGAGCATGACTAATGCACAAGATGAATAATTGATTGTTCTTTTGAGCTGTGGCTGTGATGTAAAATACCAGTGTCGTAACATCTTATTTTGGTATTGCAATACAATTTTCCGGTATGAAAGATAATAATAATCAGTATGAAGAGTGGCCACTCTCAGATGCCCTTCTGGTTTTTACTTAAAGCTCTCTTGACAGATAAGTACCACTCAGACGCGGGGCAGTTCTAGCTGATATTTAATGCAACACATATATGAACTAACCACCAGGTACTGTGCTTTATGTAGCTTAAGAAACGTTGAAGGGCCTCTCCCTTCTCCTACCTCTCTTCCCCAGGCTGGCCACCACGTCTGAAATGTCCACCACGAGAATAATTCTGTTTTCACAGTATACTTACTGGCACAAGAGAATGCTCATAATACAACATTAAGGGGGAAAAGAATACAAAATTTCTCTCTAGTATTTGACACACAAAATCACCGCAGGAATCTCCTCTGGTGTATGATCCCAATGGGATATACACATACATACATATTTTCAAATGGATCTACATCTGTTTATGGAATTATGAGTGATTTCAATTTCCTTATTTGCATTTCTTATATTTTCCAAATTCTCTAAAGCAACCATGGATACTTTTTTTTTTAATGTTTGCTTATTTTTGAGAGAGAGAGAGAGAGAGAGCACAAGCAGGGGAGGGGCAGAGAGAGACAGGGAGACACAGATCTGAAGCAGGCTCCAGGCTCTGAGCTGTCAGCACAGAGCCGGCTGCAGGGTTCGAACCCACAAACTATGAGATCATGACCTGAGCTGAAGTCGGACCCTTAACCGACTGAGCCACCCAGGTGCCCCAACCATGGCTACTTTTATAAACAAAAAGGAAAATATTTCTTAAGGGATTATTCCTTTTGGACTCAGCTGTCATTTTGGGGAGGTTCCCTAATCATGCGGTATGTTGCCTGCAGGCAGTGAAGTGAACTGCCCCAAATGCAAATTTGACTCTATTTCTTCACTGCTCACCATTCTCCAGTGGCTCCTGTGAGGTAGAGCCACCTTCCCTTGCCTGGCACACAGGTGCCTCATGATCCAGCCCCTACTCACTTCCTTAGCCTCGACTCCTTCTATTCCAGCGATACCAAAATACTGAACACTGCACCGGGTGGTCCCTTTGCTCAGTGCCTTTGCACATAGTGTTCCAGATGCCCAGAACGCTCTTTCCATCCTTACGTGCATGGCTAACTTTTACCCATTCATTCCAAATGCAGTGTAGACATCAGAACCTCTGGGAAGACTTTAACAGCTCCTTACACGGCGCTCACTTTGTCCGTGTTTGTGGGTGGACTGACCAGCTGCATTGCAATTTATGTGGTTGCATGCTTTATCTTTCTCTCCTTTGAGGGCCGAGACAGTATCTCGTTCATCTCTGTCTATTCATTTGCGGCTAGCACAGTGCCTGGAACATAGTAGATTCTCAATACATGTTGGAGGGAGGGATGAATGGATGGGTGAATTTTTTAAATACCTCTATTTGAACATTTGCCACACTGCACAGAAAGAATCTATTCATGTGTCTGTCTCCTTCACTAGACTGTGAACTCATTATATTTCCCTAGTCTGGCACCTAGGAGGCACTTAATAAAAGTTTGCTGGACTGAACTGAACTGATGTGTCGATCGTACAGAACAGGGCCCTGGAGGAATGATTCCCGGACTACTCCTAGGGGCAAAGAGAGAGAGAAGGGCTGAAAAGCTGGGGGCAGAACCAGGCTCTCAGGAAATAGGAGAATGAGGGAGGAGGAAGGTGTCCCCATGAAAGAGGGCCACCCAAGAGACCAAACAGCAAATCTGCAGACACGTCACACTGCCACGCTTCTTAGGAGACTCTGCCGGTCAGAGGAGCTGGGAAGCGAACCTAAGCCAGAAACACCGCTCTTTGCCAAGAAGTCTTCCCTGGACAGAGTATGGATGAAAACACACTGGAGAAAGACTGGGAAAGATTTATCCACTGTAAAGTCTACACCAATGTGGCACCCTTGCAGCTTCTCTGGGAATCACCCACTGTGCCAATTGGTACCTATGCCAACTCACCCAAAGGTCTGGCTATGTGAAACTGCTTGGTGCCCATACAATCTCTAGAAAACATCATGTTGATGGTGGTATGGAGTGAAAATGTATCATGTTGCATTAGTCCATTCCCACAAGCAGCTCTTACCAGACCATGCCCATTTCTAGAAAAAGTGAAATGTCTGCTCTCCCCGTGCCAAATCTCTGAATCCCATTTCAAATTAGGATTGGTTTTAGCCAAGCATATAAACTTGCCTCACCTCAAATGGGCCAGGAGTGAATCACCAGCTAATCACACAAAAATTATCAGGAGATTAGATTGAATGTCATTATCAGAATACACAAGGGGCTCCTGGGTGGCTCAGTCCATTAAGCGTCTGACTTCGGCACAGGTCATGATCTCACATCTTCTGAATTCAGGCCCGCATCCGGCTCTGTGCTGACGGCTCGGAGCCTCGAGCCTGCTTCAGATTTGGTGTCTCCCTCTCTCTCTCTGCCCCTCCCAAATTCATGTTCTGTCTTTCAAAAATGAATAAACAAAAAAAAATTAACTAAAAAATTATAATTTTAAAAATAAATGTAAAAGAAAAAAAAGGGGGGGTGCAAAGTCAGTCGGTTAAGCCTCCGACTTCAGCTCAGGTCACGATCCCAGGGTTTGTGAGTTTGGGCCCCGCGTCGGGCTCTGTGCTGACAGCTCAGAGCCTGGAGCCTGCTTTGGATTCTGTGTCTCCCTCTCTCTCTGCCCCTCCCCCACTTGTGCTCTGTCTCGCAAAAATAAATAAATGTAAGGAAAAAAAGAATACACAAAATGGCACCATGCCTTTCTTCAGCAAATGATTTCACAGGGTTTCTGGACATTACCTTATAACACCAATTCTTTGAATTACTATTTTTGAAAATATAAAAATTAATATGGAATAGGCAAAGCACCAAGGATTTTTCGGGGCAGTGAAACTGCTCTGTATTCCATAATGGTAGGTTAATGTCCTTATACATTTCTCACAACCCAAGGACAACATCAAGAGTGAACCCTAATGTAAACTGTCGACATTGGGTGATAATGTTTCCATGTAGGTTCAACAGTTGTAACTAATGTACCATCTGGTGGGGGATGTTAATAGTGGGGGGAAGCTGTGTACCTTCCACTCAGTTTTGCTATGAACCTAAAACTGCTCTAAAAAACCAGTCTATTAAAAATATTGACATGCATTTCTTGAAAAAATTCCAGCCCCAAATTCCAGTAAGTCATGGTGATTTTCTGCAGACCTCTCTACCCCCATTCCAAAGGTAGATCTCTGTCACCCGTGCAGTGTGCCCCTCTCAAATCCTTCTTTGTGTTGCCCAAAAGGAAATATACCACCTACACGTGTTATTTTAAAATCAAAATGAAATCATACTTTTCATGGTTTTCTACAACTTGCTTTTTCCACTTAACGTATCACGGACGTCTTTCCATCTCAACATTATACTCTTTTGAATGTTATTTCATAACACTGATTCTTTTTTTTTTTTTTTTTAATTTTTTTTTCAACGTTTATTTATTTTTGGGACAGAGAGAGACAGAGCATGAACGGGGGAGGGGCAGAGAGAGAGGGAGACACAGAATCGGAAACAGGCTCCAGGCTCTGAGCCGTCAGCCCAGAGCCCGACGCGGGGCTCGAACTCACGGACCGCGAGATCGTGACCGGGCTGAAGTCGGACGCTCAACCGACTGCACCACCCAGGCGCCCCTACTGATTCTTTTCAACATTGAATGGGTTAAAGATGTGATAGTGAACCCATTGATGTGTTCCAAATACTTTGTTTATCAGTATATGGTTGATTAATAGGCCAGGATGTGCATTTCCTTACACTTGTTTTAACAGCTGCTATGAAAGCTACTTGTTTCTCTCTGTGGAGAGAAGAAATGTGTTGGTTTGTGGGCAGGGAGCGAAGCGTGAGGACTCAAGAACTTGAAGTTCAGGCAACTTTTGACTTCGTAGGGCTTCCTTTCTCTATTGAGGCATAATTTAGCTATCGTTAGGACTGAATTGTGTAAATCTGTATGTGGAAGCACTAAACTCCAGTACCTTGGGATGTGACTGCATTTGAGGACAGAGCCTATAAGGAGCAATTAAGTGAAACTGAGGCCATTAGGGTGGGGCCTTAATCCACTATGACTGGTGTCCTTATAAGAAGAGGCAGAGACGCCAGAGATGGGAACACACAGAAAAAGTCATCTGAGGACGGGAGGAGAAGGCAGCTGACTGTGAGCCTGGAAGAGAAGCCTTGGAAGAAACCAACACTGCCAGAGCCTGGATCCTGGACCTCCAGCCTCCAGATCTGTGAGAAATCAAACTTCTTTTCTTTTTTTTTTTTTTTTAAATTTTTTTTTTTTAACGTTTATTTATTTTTGAGACAGAGAGAGACAGAGCATGAACGGGGGAGGGTCAGAGAGAGAGGGAGACACAGAATCTGAAACAGGCTCCAGGCTCTGAGCTGTCAGCACAGAGCCCGACGCGGGGCTCGAACCCACGGACGGCGAGATCGTGACCTGAGCCGAAGTCGGCCGCTTCACCGACTGAGCCACCCAGGTGCCCCTCAAACTTCTTTTCTGTAAGCCATCTGGTCTGGGGTATTTTCTTATATTTTAAAAAAGTTTTTTCCAACGTTTATTCATTTTTGAGAGACAGAGAGAGACAGTGTGAGCAGGGGAGGGGCAGAAAGAAAGGGAGACACAGAATCCAAAGCAGGCTCCAGGCTCTGAGCTGTCAGCACAGAGCCTGATTCAGGGCTTGAACCCATGAACCGTGAGATGATGACCTGAGCAGAAGTCGGAAGCTTAACCAACTGAGCCACCCAGGCACCCCATAGTCTGTGGTATTTTCTTAAGGCAGCCCAGGCTGACTAATACAGATTTCTTAAAATTTGCAACTATTGGGAAGTTCTTAAAATTTCCTGTTTTAGGTATACAGTTCCATGATTTTTAGTAAATCGATAGAGTTGCACAACCATTACCACAATGCCACTTTGGACCATTTCCAGGGGTGCCTGGCTGGCTCAGTTGGTGGGGTGTCCAACTGTTGATTTTGGCTCAGGTCATGATCCCAGGATTGTGGGACTGAGCCCAGAGTCGGGCTCCGTGCTGGATGTGGAGGCTGCTTGGGATTCTCTCTCTCTCTCTCTCTCTCTCTCTCTCTCTCTCTTTCTCTCTCCCTCTCTCTCTCTCTCTCTCCCCTCCCCCCCACTCTTCCCCTTGCCTGCTTGCACTCTCTCTCTCTCTCTCTCTCTCAAATAAAAAAAAAAAAATGTTCATTTCCCTGAAAAGTTTCCTTAAGCTGGGTTATAGTCAATCCACTCCGGCTCTTAGCCCCTGGCAACCACTGATCTCTTTTCTGTTTCTATAGATTTACCTTTTCTAGAAACTTCTCTAAATGGAGTCATATAATATGTGGGCTTTCAGGTCTGACTTCTTTAATTTAGCATAATCTTTGAGAGTTTTATCCACATCCAACTTCTAGAGCAGGCATTAGTAGTTTGTTGCTTCTTATTGTTGAAAAGCACTCCATTGTGTGGATATACTACATTTTATCTAATCTCTGATTGATTTACATGTGGATTGTTTCCAATGGGGCTACAAAGAATGATGCCCTGGGCAAATCTGTATGCACATCTTTATGTGGAAATCATTCTCTTTCCGGATGCTCCTTATGTTTATTTAAACCAGATTTTATGTGTTTTTAACTGTTTTTCTTTTTAGCATATTTATTTGTTTTTGAGAGGGGAAGAAGGGCAGAGAGAGAGAGAGAGAGAGAGAGAGAAAGAGAGAGAATCCCAAGCAGGCTCCACACTATCAGCACAGAGCTTGACCAGGGTTCTATCCTGTGAACTGTGAGATCACGACCCAAGCAGAAATCAAGAATCAAATGCTTAACGGACTGAGCCACCCAGGCTCCCCTTAACTGTTTTTCTTAAATGAATTTTTAAATTAAAATAAGTCAGCTTTGTGAGAGTAGGACATTGTTTTTCTCACTGTTGTGGGTCCAGTGCCTAAAGCCTCTTTTTTTTAAAAAAAAAAAAAAAAAAGTATGAAATGAATGTATATAATGCACCAAAATATTAACTATATTTGTCTTTGGCTGATATAGCTACAGCTAATATCTTTCTTTTCTGTATTTTCCATAAATGTATTTGCGAGACTATATAAAACTACAGTTATTTAAAATTAATGGGGCGCCTGGGTGGCGCAGTCGGTTGGGCGTCCGACTTCAGCCAGGTCACGATCTCGCGGTCCGTGAGTTCGAGCCCTGCGTCAGGCTCTGGGCTGATGGCTCAGAGCCTGGAGCCTGTTTCCGATTCTGTGTCTCCCTCTCTCTCTGTCCCTCCCCCGTTCATGCTCTGTCTCTCTCTGTCCCAAAAATAAATAAACGTTGAAAAAAAAAATTAAAGTTATTTAAAAATAGGGGTGCCTGGATGTTTCAGTCAAAGGTTTGTGCAACTCTTGATCTCAGGGTTGCAAGTTGGAGCCCCACATTGGGGGTAGAGATTACTTAAAAATAAAATCTTTATAAATAAAGAAACCATTTAAAAATATAATACACAGACTACAGTACTTCTTAATTTCTGTGAAGGATGACTCTGTGTGTTTAGAGGTTGTGAAGGTGTCATCTCAAGCAACCCACCCCTCAGGAGGGGAATCGGGGTCCTGAGCACAGCTGGAAGAGGACATAGGGTCAATGCAGGATCTTTTCTCAGCTGCGGGTTCTGAGGCTATTGGTGCCGCAGTGGGAATGAACCAGTGGGGAGAAGGGACGGAAGGTGATGTGCATAAGCAGCATTATTGGGAGCCTCCAAGGACGGACACAGAGCCAGTCGCCCGAAGTGTGGTCTGTGAACCAAGCGTCATCATCAACTGGGAGCGTATCACAAGCGCGTGCAATCCTCAGGCCCCACCCCAAATCTACTGACTCAAAATTTCTCGGGATGGGTCCGAGTATCGTGTTTTAACAAACCCTAACTGTGATTCTTATATGTGCTGAAGTTTGAGTAGCACCGATCACTGTAGAACATCATTGAAAAGTTGGCCTTGGGTGGATATTCTCACCAGCAGGTCCTTGGGAGCTGACCAGATGGTTGCCTGTCTCTGAACCAGCTACTGAGAGGAACCAAAGGAACGCATTTTTTTTTTAAATTTTTTTTCAACGTTTTTTTTGGGACAGAGAGAGACAGAGCATGAACGGGGGAGGGGCAGAGAGAGAGGGAGACACAGAATCGGAAACAGGCTCCAGGCTCTGAGCCATCAGCCCAGAGCCTGACGCGGGGCTCGAACTCATGGACCGCGAGATCGTGACCTGGCTGAAGTCGGACGCTTAACCGACTGCGCCACCCAGGCGCCCCGCAAAGGAACGCATTTAAATCACATTCCCAGGCATCCCATCTTGATGGGTTATATGCTTATTTACCTGCTCCATTCTTTTTTTTTTTTAATTATTGTAGTAAAAAACACTTAAGATTTATCATCTTAAGCATTTTTTAAACGCACGGTTGGTGTATTAAATACATTCACATTGTCGTACTACTGTCACCACGGCCCCATCCCCATAATTCTTGTCAAACTTACAAAACTTTTACAAACTCACACAACTGCAGCTTCTACCCGTTAAACAAGAACTCCGCATCCCCGCGCCCCCGGCCCCTGGCAACCATCGTCATACTTTCTGTCTGGGTGACTGTGACTATCAAAGTCCCTCATACAAGAGGAATCGCACAGTACTTGTCTTTTGGGGCCCAGCTTGTTTCACTCAGCATACCTGTTTCGTTCCTGAGCACAGTCCCCTTATGAACTTTCTTATACAGAATTCCACAGAGGGTCACAATCAGAAGGAACAGCAACACCTGATTGACTGAAATAAAAACAGAAACACATTCAGGTGTAACCTCTCAAGCTGAAATTGCGGGAAAGTTTAGAATGGTCATATGAGCAGATGCCTTCCCTAACCAACATCCCAGCGGTGGTCTGGGACCTTTCTTTCAGCAGATGGCATGCGGAATAAAGGGTTAACCTGGGATGCTGTTGCAGCTCAAGGGTACAGAGACGTAGCCTAAGGAGGAGGGGGGGCTACTCCCAGGCAGCCTGATGGCAGAGGCTACGACCTTGATGCCGACATGAGGCTGCCTCTGGAGCCAGTTTCCGTGCCTGAACATTTGGTTTCAATGAACAGCCAACATTTATATAAAGCTTACGATGAGCCAGTACTTATTACGAGTACGTGTTCTCAGTTCACTCGAACACTGGTCAAGGATGACATACAACAAGTTCTTGCCCTGAGTAAGAGGACGGAAGGTCCAAATATCTCTCCCAGTTCTAAGCATCCGGGACCATCTGTTCCACTTACCCTTGGCAACGACTGAGAAATAGAGTGATAAAGGACAGTGCTTTCCTAAGTACGGAGCACATACCACTGATTGTACATGAGATGGTTTAGGAGGTTTGTGACCATGGCATTAAGTAACATTAAGTCACAGCATGAGAAGTTCGTTTTAATTTCACGTGCAGGCAGGTAACAAAAGCTACCCAGAAGTGAGTAACATTGTTCTAATCATACATATTTGTATAATCGTCTTCTTTTTAAGATAGGAGATAGCTTATTCTATTAGCAATAAGGATATGCACTTTCTTTTTTTACAATTTTTAATGTTTTTGTTTATTTTTGAGAAAGAGAGACAGAGTACTAGTAGGGGAGGGGCAGAGAGAGAGAGAGACACAGAGTCCAAAGCAGGCTCCAGGCTCTGAGCTGTCAGCACAGAGCCCGACATGGGGCTCGAACTTGCAAACCATGAGATTATGACCTAAGCCAAAGTTGGATGCTTAACCCACTGAGCCACCCAGACGCCCCAGGATATACACTTTCTATTATAAAGTACACATAAATTTTAAATGAGTCAATTTAAGGAAACAGTTAAGTCATGCGTAGGACAGAAGAAACACAGATGATGAAAAATTGAGAAGGTGGTGCATTGCTGTACATAGAGCACAATCACCTGAAGTTTGGAAAATGTTGGTAGGAGAGGAAAGGGCCAGGATTTCAAGTCAGGCTCAAATCTTGTTTCTGCCACCTCTTAGCTGTGTGGCCTTAGACAGGTTACTGAATCTCTCTGAGCCTCAGTTTGTTCATCTGCTCAATGAGGATTGTAATTGTAGTAATAATCATTGTCTCACATGCGGGTTTTGAGAGTTAACAAAGGCAATGTAGGCCTAATAAAGACTTTATAATTGTTATGTATTATCATTTACTATTTTTTAAGTTTATTTATTTATTTTTGAGAGAGAGAGAAAGCACAAGTGAGGGAGGGCAGAGAGAGAGGGAGAGAGAGAATCCCAAGCAGGCTCCGTACTGTCAGTACAGAGCCCAATGAGGGGCTCGAACTCATGAACCATGAGATCGTGACCTAACCCCAAATCAAGAGTCGGACACTTAACGGACTGAGCCACCCAGGCACCCCTATCATTTACTGCTTTTACGCATCCAGATATTTACATTTATTGTCCTCATACTGATCTCTTTTCTGGCCCCTGGGCCTTTGTCTTCCCTCTTGTAGAAGGAAGGAGTTAGTCTTCACAGATGTCTTCCAGAGCTACATTCTGAGGCCCAATGATTCTACTGTGCTTACATCCAGCTTCTCTCTGCCTTTCTGGACTGTGAGATTCAGCCAGAGAAACTAAATACGAGACTCAGTTTAAAACAAAACTATAGAGAAATAGCAGATAAGGAAGAAAGTCCTACAGTTTATCAATACGTGTGATAAATATTCATCTGCCACGGCCAGTTGGGGAGGCAACTCAAAGTCTTCTATCACCTGACTCTTTTCTTAGTATATGTATGCCCTATGCAATATTTTGCATATACTTAGACCAAAATACTATTCACAGTTGATCTGAACTTCAAATCTAACTGCATATCTTGTCTTTTCATCTGCTTGTTCAGGCAGCTCTACCCTGAGGCTGACTGTCACACAATTAGGTTACTATGCTTCATCCCAGGCTCACAAACTACTAGATCTAAAATCAAGGGCAAATTCAGGTTTTGATGGAGTCTGAAGATTATATAATTTAAGGTGACTCTTAAGAATAGGAACACAAGGGGCACCTGGCTGGCTCAGTCAGTGGAACATGAACTCTTGATGTGGGGGTTGTGAGTTTGGGCCCCATGTTAGGTGTAGAGATTACTTACATGAATCAATCAATCGATATTAAGAATAGGAACACAAAATTACAAGTGCTAAAATTAGATAGGAACATGAATATTTATTTAAAGTAAGAAAATAAATTCTATTTGTTAAGTTTCATAGAAATGTTTGCCCCTTCTCATGATGAATCCACCTGTGGACAAAATACTTAACAACTTTCCACAGGAATCATCCTGAATGATGATGCCAAGAACTCTGCCTGTGGGAAAACCATCCGTGAAAACAAAGATCTCAAAAATAAGACAGTTCAAGACTCAGCATCAAAACAGTCCTTTAAGCGGCACCTCGGTGGCTCAGTCAGTTAGCCGTCCGACTTCAGCTCAGGTCATGATCTCGTGGTTTGTGGGTTCGAGCCCCGCATCGGGCTCTGTGCTGACAGCTCGGAGCCTGAAGCCTGTCTCGGATTCTGTGTCTCCCTCTCTCTCTGCCCCTCCCCTTCTCGCGCTCTGTCTTTATCTCTCAAAAATAAATAAACATTAAAAAATAAAAAAAAAACCAGTCCTTTAAAATATCTATTTTTAATAATCATGATTGTCAAAAGTGTGATCTTACTTTTTCGTAATAAAGCCATGTGTGTTCACGCAGACGAAAGCTGTGACCTGTGGATTAAAGAATAAAACTTTTTGTAAAACAGAATCAACCCCAGAGTCATCATACAATTACTAAGGATCGTGTCTTTGAGTATCTGATATGTGGCAAATTGTGCAATCATTCCTTACTGTTCTGAATCTAGAACTTTGGAAAAAAGTATCTCTTAGATGTATAGGTCAGCCCTTCAAATTAATTTCTCTGGCTGTACGAACAGTCCAAAGGGCCCCCAATAGATAATCTTGCATATTTTCAGCTATCATAATTTCATTCCTTTGATAAGGAAATTTTCACATCTTCAGGGATCCCTTGTAGAAACAGAACTATACCTTACACTAAATTCAATCATGCATTCCATGAGTATTTATTGAGATCCTACTAATAGCCCAGCACTGTGCTATGTACTGAGGATGTACCAATGAACAAATCAGTCCCAGTCCCTACCATCATGGGGCTTTAAATCCTGTGGGGAAAACAGATACTAAAATGTAACAAATAGATTATGGTAAGAGGTATGAAGGAAACAATAGAAGTTCTGGGACACAGATCAGTAGAGGTGAGGAGTGTATCAGGAAGAGAAATCAAGAAAAGCCTCATTGAGAAGATGCTCTTCCAAGAAGAGCAGGAGCCCATGGAGAGAAGGCAGAAGGAAAGAGCAAAGTGCAAAGGAAAGGAAACAGCAGGTGTGAAGGCCCTGTGGCTAAAAAGAGCTCTGGGTATTCTAAGTACTGCGAGAAGTTCAGTATGGCTGGAACATAGTGGACGAAACAAGAGACTGGCCAGACGAGGCTGGAGACAAACCGTGTTGTCTATAAAGGAGTTTGGATTTTACTTCATATGCGTGTAGCTCCCTCTATCAGCTTTTGTTTTCATTAAAGTCCCAAAGCAATATTTTCAAACATCTCCACAGATATTCTGATGGTAAAGGAGAGTGGAACTCAAAGTCAGCCATAAGGAGCTCCAAAATATTTACACATTTCTTGAGTTACCTTCAGATTTGTGTAAACTGTCCAAGAACGAAGGGAAAATAATGGCTCCTTTCATTGCTAGCAGAGGTCCCCTCAGGGAGAAAAGTCTTTGTTATTATGAAGTCAGAGACTTCCGTGCACGGATGGGGTGGGCAGGGGTGAGAGCGGGAACATGTGAAATGAGTCTGAGTGAATGATCAACTGGAATCCTGGGGTTGGCAGCAGCCCAAGATTATTACGTGAGAAGGAGAAAGATCCCATAGCAGAGGCTGCCCCTTGCTCAAGAATTGAGATGCCCAATATTCAGTCCATAGTCTTCCGTCATGCTCTGCATCTCCTGATCCCCACCCTGTCGCCACTCTGCTTTCCCCCCTGGGTCTAAACACATGTATCAATGTGTTCGGGGGAAATCAAGGACAGGGGGCCGTGTTCCCCATGCCGGACGTGGAGAAGTGGGGAGAGACGCAACTGAGATGAAGTTCTGTGGGGACCCTGAACGTAGGAGAATGTAAGCTGTCAGGAAGTCATGAGGATTTTGGAGGGGATATTGGATGGGGGGAAGGTCAGTCCATTTTACTTGAATCTCCAAATCTATGGCTCCTGGGAAATCTTAACTTTTAAAAAAAATTTCCTTTGTTTAAATGTTTATTTTTGAGAGAGAGAGAGAGAGAGACTGTGTGTGTGTGTGAGCAGGGGAAGGGCAGAGAAAGAGGAAGACACAGAATCTGAAGCAGGCTCCAGGCTCCGAGCTGTCAGCACAGAGCCTCACGTAGGGCTTGAACTCACAAACCATGAGATCATGACCTGAGTGGAAGTTAGACGCTTAACCGACTGAGCCACTCAGGCACCCCTTAACTATTTGTGACACACAAGTCTCAAAACTTTGCTAAGCCTACAGACCTCTGTCTAGAATAATGTTTTTTTTTTTAATTTTTTTTTCAAACGCTTATTTATTTTTTTGGGACAGAGAGACAGAGCTGCGGAAACGGGAGGAGCAGAGAGAGGAACGACAGAATCGAAACAGGCTCCTGAGCCTCGGATTATCAGCCCATGATTCTCAGCACGCTGAGGGCTCGGAACTCAGCACGATCCCTGCCGAGATCGTGACCTGGCCGAAGTCGGACGCTTAACCGACTGCGCCACCCAGGCTGCCATAAAATGCTTTTTTAAAGCTTAAAATAGTTTTTTACAAAGAAACCTAAAATTTATATGAAAAGGAAGCCACCAGAACATCGGTGGGAGGGGGGAAGCCAAACTTGTGACATAATAAAGTAGCAAGTGTTAGCAAGTGCAAAGGTGCTGTCAGTTGAGGTGATGGTGAGCTTTAAAAAAGTGTGAGGTATCTGTAACCAGTATAATATAATATAAAAACATCTGGGGGGCGCCTGGGGGGCTCAGTTGGTTAAGCATCCTACTTTGTCGGTCACGAAGCTCATGGTTCAGGAGTTCGAGCTCCTCACCGGGTTCCAGCCAGCTCAGGAGCCTGGAGCCTGCTTCAGATTCTGTGGCTCCCCTGTCTCTCAGTTCTCCCTACTCACTGCTGCCAGCTTCTCTCACTCTCTCTCTCTCTCTCACAAGTAGGCAAACATTTTAAAAACAAACAAACAAAAAACACATCTGATTTCTGCGGGCGATGATGGTGCAGGTCCTGAGGTAACTTCTGTGATTTGTCGCCTACATTGACAATTGAAGGAAATGCTCACTTCCACTCAGTGGTGAGTGAAAATAAAGTTATGATTTTTCTCTCATCTAAGTACATGAAATCATTTGAAATGTATCCATGGACACCGTGAGGATCTGTGCACCCCAGGTTGAAGGTTAGACCCCTGGGCAAGGTAGACTCAGCTGACATCTGGGTTAAGATGACATTTGTGCTGTTTTATCACCTAGAAAAATTGCTGCCCTGGGCACATTTGCCTGATTTGTCCTGAGGCTTTTCATTCGCCCTGGTTCCCGACATGATGTTCCAGGTGACAGGCAGGGTGAGAACCCGGTCCCAGGCAAACATCAGAGAGGCGAGGCTGATGTGCAGGGACAGAGGAGTATGGATGGAAAAGCAAGCCCTGGGAGGAAGGCTGGAGGGATGCCAGAGACAGATTTGGGATAAGATTTCCTATCTTGCATTGCCATACACTGTTAAGGGTCATTAAAATGCCCATCCTGGCAATGTCATATAGGCCAATGTTGAAATGTCCTCTGCCTCTATATTGAAGATTACAGAAACTAAAGGAGGGGCCAGGATACAAAACAGAGGGGGACTTTCACTTGATATTCTTTCAAGGCTTATACTGCACGTACTTAATAACCAACATGGCCCTCGGCACCGAACAATTAAAATGGGCCCCAACTGTAAAAGCTGTAGCAGACCCAACTGATATGTTCTAATAAACAGAAGACTTGGCACCTATAGAATGTTGAATCATGTGCATGGATTATCTGTTCAAACAAATAGTTAAGTACAGGAGATTCTAAGAGTGTGTGTGTATGTGCACTCACACACATACACACACACACAAAGATGCTACCAGTCCAACTTTTTACACAGAGCACTTGCCTTTGCATGAGACAAATTCTGGGCAAATTCTAAGAGGCCTATCAACCAGACGTATTCCAGGAAAAACATCTTTTTTCTTTTTTTAACGTTTATTCATCTTTGAGAGACAGAGACAGAGTATGAGCAGGGGATGGACAGAGAGAGGGGGAAGGCACAGAATCCAAAGCAGGCTCCAGGCTCCGAGCTGTCAGCACAGAGTCTGACGCGGGGATCGAACTCATGAACAGCGAGATCGTGACCTAAACCAAAGTCAGACGCTCAACCGACTAAGCCAACTAGGTGCCCCAAGGAACATCTTTTAACAGAAGAAGCCAACTGCTTCTTCAGAGAATGAATTTTAACACATGCATAAATTCTTATACTAATCACAACAAATGAAATAGAGAACGATTTCAACACCTCCAAAGAATTCTCTTGTGCTATCCTTTTGTAGGTAGACCCTTCCCAACACCTAGCTCCTGGCAATCACCAATCTTCTCTCTTTCCCTATGGTTTTGCCATTTCCAGAATGCCATATAAATGGGGTCATACAGGGTAGCTCAGTCAGTTAAGCGTCTGACTTAATTTTGGCTCAGGTCATGATCTCATGGTTTGTGAGTTCGAGCTCCACATGAGGCTCCACGCTGATGGTGTGGAACCTGCTTAGAATTCTCTGTATTCCCCTTTCTCTCTCTCAACAATAAATAAAATTTTTTAAAAAAGGATCATACAGTACACGACCTTTTGTGACTCTCTTCCTTCACTTAGCATGATATATTTGGGATTCATACTTGTTGTTGAGTGTATCAATAGCTTTCTCCTTTTTATTGTTGAGTAGTATTCCATTGTATGGATGTACCACAGTCTATCCATTCACCCACAGAAGGACATTGGAGTTATTTCCAGTGTTTTGTTATCGTGAATAAAGCTTTTGTAAACTATTATTTATAGGTTTCTGTGTGATTTTAAATTTTCACTTCTCAATGGTAAATACTTAGATTACTGGGTCATTGGGTAGATGTGTATTTAACTTTATAAGAAATTTCCTGTTTTCCTTAGTGGTTGGGTCATTCTGCATTCCCGCCAGCCATGTAAAAGAGTCTCAGTTGCTCTGCATTCTCGTCAGCACTTGGTGGTGTATTTTTTTTATTTTAGCTGCTCTAATAAGGCATATTTCACTATGGCTTTAATTTGCACGTCACTAACAATTACTCACGTTGAACATCTTTTTATGTGTTTATTTGCCATCTGTATATGTTTGTGATGGTTAATTTTATGTGTCAACATGACTGGGTCATGAAGTGCCCAGGTATTTGGTCGCATATTATTCTGGGTGTTCCTGTGAGAATGTTTTTGGATAAGATTAATATTATTTTTTTTAATGTTTACTCATTCTTGAGACAGAGAGGGAGAGAGAGAGAGAGAGTGCAAACAGAAAGAGAGACAGAGAGGGGAGGGACAGAGAGAGAAGAGGACAGAGAA